AATAAGAACCAAGGGAGATTATGTAAAGGTGCAAATTTCCAATGATGAATGTCATTATATTGTATACCTAAAATGTACCAATAAAATTAATTTTTCAAAAATCCAAATAAATAAATGAGTAAACGAATGAAAAAAATGAGGTTATACCAGAATGCTCAATCGGGATTTCTAAAAAAATTTAAATTCAAGAGATTCTTTAAATTACAGCTCAAATGCGCTGAATGTTTTCACTTAAGACATTTATCTGTTATAAAATTTATGATATGAATTGATTTCAAGAGCATTGCTAAACATTGAGTAACAAGATCATAATCCCAGAAAACCATGTTGGCTAAGGCCTTGGAGAGAGTGTGGAATTCTAGTGGAAAATTCCTGTGGACAAACACAACTTGAAGCTTCTAAAGTGAAGGGGACAGCTTGTAATACAAAGAAACAAAATCACAAGTAGCCATGGCCTTAGAGCTGGCTGCAGGGAAGTGCTACACCTACAGTCAAATGAAGACCTTCTTCCCTGACCCTTGAGCAGGGTCCAGCACTACCTGGTGTCATGGGAAATGCGGAAGGTGCCAGAGGAGGGGTGGGAAAGCTATGGGTTCGCTATGCTTGGCTGTGGGGATCCACTCCACACTGTCAAGAGGATCTTTTCTGAACAGTGGAGTCGATCCTATCTGTTTTACTTCCACTCTAGAGTGGAGAAATTTCTACCCATAAGCCATGACAGCAATCTGCAGATGACACTGAGTAATGCGCACAGTAGACATTTCTGACTGCATGCACACAAGCCATGATATCTTTTGGAGCATACAGAATACCTGATAATGAAACTCTCCAGAAAAATAAGTTATTTTCTCATATTTGTTGATTGGAAGAAATAGGCTATATTAGTTAACTCGTAATTTCTTATGTACAGATTTTCATACTAGGATGTCAAGTATGTATTAAGTTACATTTTAGGACTTTATGCTTTATAATTTTAATTTCCTCATAGCTATTTTAAGAGCTCGGTAATACACCATACATTGTGAGGTTTAACATGAAACTAACTGGTGGGGTACTCTATGATAAAACCAATAAAAAATTAAAGTTTTCCAGAAAACTGTTTTTACAAGTGAACCGACTGCAGGTGAGACCAGCAAATTTGATTTTATTTTTAAATTCCAGGGATGTGAGACATGAATTCTTATCTGGCTTTCATTGATTACTCACTTTTGTGTGCTTTTTGCTTTATATTTCAATAGTGTAAAAAAGCCATAAAGGGCATCCTACCAAAATGCACCTACTTACCAGCCCTGGAGCCATTTCTGTACGGTGCTCCTCCAAATATTCTGAAGCATGTGCTGGGACAGTTCAGTAAGGTAAGATACGCACTCTCATCTTACTGCCCGAAAGAAGGGGAGGAAAATGAAAATTATTGTCACCTCGTGTTTGTCTGTTTTCTTTTTTCTGTTAGCTTGTTTTCTTCTGTAACATGGAGTTCTGGATTTTACTACTTAACTCTCATCAATCTATATCGACAAGTGTAACACAAGTAAAGTCTACATACAGATAAAACACTTCTTCCTCAATTGTATTTTCTTACGGCCTCTGTACTTTTTTTATGTTCCCAGGAAGCAAATTCTATGTCAATACTTGAAAACCTCCTAATACAAATACTTTATTGTGATAAAGTGACTTCTGGTGACTTTTCCAGTGTCTTTTAGTTCCACCCACCTGGAAGCCCAGCAATGCTCTTGACAAGAGAAAGCAAAGGGTCTCGAGCCCCGGAAATGTGGTTCACAAAGTCCGTGCACATTACTGGAGGTGCTGCCAGTCAGTCATTGGGGCACATTGACTTTCTTTTCTTCCTTAGATCCGTTCATTGGTGCATTTTAGGTATACCGGGTGTTTACATTCATCACTGGGTGCTTGTACCTGAACGTGATGTATCTGGGTTCTTATTTTTCCCCATTACCTGTGCGCCCTTCACCCCTCCATCCTTCCCTATTTACAAAGACTTTGTTTCCATTTTTTCCTTTTCTCGTAATTTTTCCTTTTCCTTCTTTCCTTTCCCCTGCCCCTC